AATATGCATATACACACAAACGTCACGTGTAAAGTAAAATATGAATAAAGGCACAAACATATTCCCTACATTCATCACTAATATTATTATGTAACTTATGATAGTTCTTAACTGACAACAATCAGCTATTTGCGCTTACAAACGGTTACTGCTCATACGTGCCTGTATAACCCTTCGCGCATACGTAAGTTACCTATCAAAGTTATATTTTAGGAAAAGAGAGCGTTATTCAAACTACTTACCTTTCAATATACAATGGTATATGACGCCCATTGTTAGCGATTTCCATATAAGTGGCGTTATTTTAAAATTTGACAAATGAAAGAAATAAAAGTTACAATTTGCAATATGTCTGCAAAATTATTTGTCGTGCAAGTATATCAGAGCATGACTGGTAAGGCATCTTCCCAACTTAACTGACAATGATATCAAAATTCACTTCACTTATAACATGAAATAACACTACAATAATTATTTTGATGTTCTGAAATCCATCATGATAAACACGCAACCCGAGTGCAATATGGTTTGGTAAAAATTGTTCTCCACAGTGCGGTCGGTATAAATACATGGAAATTTTAATCCACCAACATAATTATAAACCAAATTCAAATTCAATAAAACTAAGGCAACAAGGACAAGTACAAGGAGAAGACAGGTACACCGGGTGAGTAAGCGTCTTCTGCTTCATTGGCAACAACCGTTATTTCGACCTAAGTCAATCCAGGTTCTCAAATAAGAACAAAGTATACAACACCGATATACGCTTCGTAATATAGTTGTACCGCCGTTCATCTTCCTTTAACAAGGAGGTTATCATAACAAGAGAACGAATGTATTCTTTCTTTCAGTTTCAGTGGTGATAGAATGGAGAAATAATTTGTTCTTATAGAAGAAATTTTTTAAGTCAAAAATTCTTTGGAGTTATTCAAAACCCATATACTATTAATTCTACTTATTTAGTGAAACGTATCACAATAAGACTGTTACCCAAATTTGATAGTACTAGCAGTGTTGATTAGTAGTTTTGAAAAGGCTTGGTTGAACAAATAGACGAGCCAGCAATAAAACGTTGTTTATATGGTGTATTCTGAATGTAATCATGTTTACACACAAAGTGAAGTATATATTCCAAACCCTGTATTTTTTCAAATGATTGAAATAATTTTACAGCAAATCCTTGGGACTTAAGTCTACTGTCAGAGTCATTTACCCTCTCCGATATAAAAGTATCGAACGATGCTTCATTTCTTTAGATCACGTAAATTCCCTTTTCATAGTACAACACACTAAATTCAAACTACGTTAAAAACGGTTAACGTTCAAAATCAAGAAGATATCTGGCATAGAATTTTTCACGCTTTAAATATGTGTATAATGACACTTCATTAATTTAGCTCTGCATATCTCACATGTTCATGTCAATGTGATGCATTTTTCTGACACAAATGACTAGATAAATATTCCCGTGCTGCTTATTGTGCCTCATAATATGAACTGAATATTACAAATTAAGCGCATTCCGTCATTTATTAGATATTATTTTTACTGTGGTAACCAGAGGAAAAAACCTAACAAAATCCGAATTCGAAATCAAATTCGATGACACGAAAGCAAAATATTACTAATCGAACGATTTAACCAATGTTCTGCAAGAGATAGCATCTTTAGATTCGTCGAAGACAATTATTATGTAAATCAAGATCATTTGGAATAATGTGATGCTCTAAAAATGAGAGCCAGGAGACTTTCTAACAACCTAAATGATTGCAAGGACACTGTCCACTGTAGACTATCTCAAGACTGAATGTTATTCATACCACACATGAGTGTTTTTTTTAAATATAGTACTTCCGCCAAATGCAAAACATTTGAAATACTTAAGCTTCAAGTTAACTAGCTATTTCAATGCTGTTTTATGTATACATAAGTATCATCGTTGCGATAATTTGGAGTAACAGTTTAGTTGTGCAAAGAAAATTGCTATACTGTGATATTTACAACAAGCTATTAGTGTTACTCAATACCAAAACTTCGTATGATATACTTTGTGATATGGCAGCCATTATAATTGGTTCAAGTCTTAATGTTACATGGTTCAAAAGATTACACGAGGGAGAAAAATCAACTTGTACTTTATGTCTGATCAGAATATCTTGTGGTTACCTGAGTTGTTTGTTTGTATCCACTGCTCATTTGCACACTATTATCCTACATGATTCAGTTATCAAGAGACGAAAATTGATATTTGTAAAGGATAAATAGATATGCACAGAATCGCACACATAGATATGTTAAATGAGGTTGTAATGCATTGCTCCTTCATCATAATACCATCCTCGGTGAATTCCAAGTGCATCAATTTTTTGCATATAGTTAAGCATATGTCATATCTATATATATATGCACTTTCATGTAAAACAAGTTTTTATTTTGTATTATTACTGTCAGAAGGCTTGATGGAGAATGTGCATTCACATCTGATGATGTTATCTTTGTTGGAAGATTTGTAAGCGCGTGCTTAAAATATCAGTGTTACCATTTTCTTTAGTTTTGAATATGATATTTAAATTAAGGAGTTAAACTGAATATTTTGTAAAATAGAATTTATTTATTAACGACTTAATGAGCATTTAGACGAGTGGCATATCGAATTGTTCACGGGTGAAATTAATTACGTTTTGCATGCACACGAGTATAATATTTTATCTATCAAATAACTCATACTTATGAACAATAAGTGGAATCTCTTGAATATTGTACAACAGACACACAAATGAAGAGCACCTTAATTTTTCTACCTTTTTTTTATTACAGAAACAATTATGTGACGTCATAAAGACATGACATATTTATGACATCACAAAAGTGAAATTACACATGTGACTTACGAAGTAAGTTTCGTTATTATCAATCAAGCAGAATAAAATGAAAATTGAATTCTATGAAAACGTAACGGAATCAAGATACATAAGAAAGTAACGTGATTAACCATTGGATTAACCACAGGAATGTGTTTACCAAAATGGTTTCAGGATAATCACTTCTCCTGTTTTTATATCTCACTTTTGACTTAGAGTTTGAATTCAGATTAATCCGCATTTCGATATTATACTTTATGTATCATTTGCATCGAATTGGCTATTTAGATAAGAATATGTCGTTAACAGATAACACATCCTTAAAGCTAAAACATCTAGAAAGGAAATTTTGTTATCCGAGAAATCATTTTTCTATGAATATCTGGAAAAAATACGTAACACTGAAACAAAGGAAATGCCGGCAAGTTAACGGAATTATAATTCAAACAAAATCTAAACAAAAGAAATGCAGAATCCTGGAAAAAGTACGAGGGAAATAAGACCAAGTGTACATGAAGAGTGAGCATCTTCTGATTTATCGACAACGCCTGCCTGATAAAACTTGGTATAATGTTCCCAAATAAGAACAAGACAAACGACAACGGAACCTCCAGGTATACTTAACACGTCCAGGGTCATATGACGAAAAGAAAAATGCTATAGCGTTGATATCATTAAGACTTTCCTATAATCATCAACTATTAAAGTTATAAGATATATCAACCAAGACCATAAATATATCTTTGCACACAAATGCAGAGTTAGATACAGTAGAGTCAAAATTAACCTGCTCATACAGTTATTTCATCCTTTCAGGACTTGTCAGTGTTGTTAAAGGAATAAATTTTGAAGCCTAGGATGCGTTTAAGGAAAATCCAGTGACCGAAATAAAAGTCATATTCTAGATTGGGAGGCGATGCCAGTGATCTTAAATTTGAAGCGTCCATAGACGTATTGATGTTAAAGATTGGTTGTCAGCTGATAAAAATTCTGTGATAATTCCTATTAACTATTATGATTTATCCTCTATACGGCATGAATGAACCTGTTTGATATATAATCAGAGTAAAATACACTATTCAATCAAAGTTTATTCAAGTCGTATTGATTAAAAACACATACTAAATGAAGGTATGTTGAATTAATGCCTTATCATCTCACAAATGGGTAAAGTGTATTAATACTGCCAGTGGCACCGCTGTTCTGCATTGTATATCTTCCTGGTTACGATAATCAACATGGTCTGATATTGACGATTAATGCTCATTGATATCGGGGCGAAAAGGTTAATTCACAGGTCTAATCAGCGAGCCTGAAGTTGAGAATGGATTCATAAAAAGCATATTAATCCTTATTGATTGTCAAGTGAATGTGAATTCATTCATTTGAATACTACAGTAGAAATAAGAATATCGATCCACCCTTCCACCCATTCATCCACCTATCCACCGAGGACCACACTACTAATATAATTATGATACGGTATATTGATAATTTATACGTAACTACATGTGTTTGATTTTCGTTACTTTTATCCCATTTGCTTAATCTCAGTTATTATTAATTACATATACATATATTACATATATTATCGATTGCTATTAAATACATGTGTTAATTACCAAACACTGTTATTTATCAGTTACTATCGATTACATATGTCTACTATTAGTTACTATAAATCACATAGTTTACTCTCAGTTGTTATTAATTACATGTGTTTACTATCACATACTATTAATTACATGTCTTTACTGTCACTTACTATTCACTACAAGTGACAAGTAAATAAAGTGTCTGGGAAAATGGTCAAAGATGATTGTTTTGGGTGAGAATCTCTTTTTTACAATAAACAAAACATACGTCAGTTTTAATGCTGATTAAAGTTTTCACGGCGTTTTGATTGTGATATATGTCCCTATTCGACCTGGTATCAATCAGCAACAATAAGTAAAATGCCGACATGTGAACAAAATCTATATTCAAACTCAAATTAGATGAAACAAGGCAAAATTTTAACAAGAAAACATTCTAGATAAAAAGCGAATGTGCTATCTGCTAAAATAGAAGAAAAGAGATTTATTGGGGCATGTGTGTCCTATATTCTAATGAACTCATCACAACGTTTCGTCATTGCAGGCGCTTTTTTGGTTCCCTATTTGCTGTTTCTGGTATTTGGAGCGGCACCTGTTTTGATCCTGGAAATAGGTCTAGGTCAATTCATGAGCGAGAGTGGAACTGGAGCATGGAACATATGTCCTTTATTCCAAGGTGACTATATTAAGTAGACCTTTAGCTTGTAGCTGTTCCTGTACTTGTGGATAGGAAATGACAAGTTTGATATCTTTTTATCATCTAATCAAAATGAAAAGAAAATGAATGGTAGATGCAGATACGTAAATACTTAACTGTGTACAAAAATATTTCGATTTTGTTGGTAAAAAATATTTACGCATTTCCATTAAGGGAATATGAAATTTGCCTCGTTTCAGGAAATGTTTCTGTATACGTATATGTATTTTAATTTCATCCTTCATGATACAGTGCCAGATAATACATTTCACCTTGATATGACTGCATCAAATATTCTTAAATAACCCGTTTTTTTGTTTTGTTTTGTTGCTTTTGTTTTTTGTTTTTTACATTTTAAGCATATTTTTATTGGAAAATATTCCCCTTGTTTTCAAAGTTTAATCAACTTATCCCGGTGATGATATCTCCCCCACGATTGATAAAAGCTTATTAGATACACAAGAGGTATCGGGCCGTTAGCTGTTATATTCGTCATCATGACAACGTCTTATTTCCACCGCAAAGGATGACACGAATAGGTGTTGTAACGAGGCGAATCATTCTCTATATATGGTTCCATTCTTCACAGGTATTGGGGTTGCAAACCTGGTGATGATGGTGCTGGTGAATATCTACTACATTGTGGTGCTAGCCTGGGGTTGCTATTACTTTGTCATGAGTTTCCAGCCTGTACTTCCTTGGTCTCATTGTGACAATCCATGGAACACTCCCAGGTAAATCACTTGAATTTAATTAGTCTGGGATGATATTTTGTTTGTTTTTACGCCGCGCGAGAGTCACGGTAAAGGCAGTCTTACTGTGACAGGGTTACCTCATAGGAAAGCATGTATAGAGACTCATCGAATGCAATCAAAACAACCAGGATAAAATGTCGTGTCCTTTGTCATGCATATAACAGCACAAGGCGGGCCAGGAAACCCCACATTAAAATCGAACTACGCACCTCTGACCGCCTAGTGAAAGAAACTACTATTCCAATGCTAAACCGAATAAGCTATCGTGGGATAACTACCGCATTATGAGCTTAAGAAATAAAATTAATAATAGAAAATTTCAAGAAAGGTAAATAATATTTCTATGTATTTTATATCAGTATTAGTCTATGAAACTCATTATGCAGGGAAACGCAGTCCACGTTTATCACGTTTTTGTGTGGTTGTTTTGTTGACATCTTTCATCAAGAGGTTAATGTCCGTAGATTTATTCCCGTGAGCAGTTTCGCTGTACCTTTATCCGCTGATCAGAATGATTCTGCACGAATAAAACCGTGTTTAATTTCAGGGAAAAAAGAAGTGAACATAATCATAATCCACTCAAATTTAAACTAAGGCAAAATATACACAAAAGGTGGTATGTTTTGCCATCTGTTTTCTCTTTTGAAGATATGAATAGTAAATGATATTTAAGTATTTGTTTAAGTTCACAAAATCCATGAAATATATTATATCAAAGTTGGAAAATGGGTCCGTCATCAAATGAAAAAGGTCGGGGAAAAAGAAATAAGGTCAGACTTACCAATGGAGGAAATTCAGGACAAGCAGAATACAACTGTTATTACTCTGGGTCAACGAAATGCAAACTTCATTTAATCATAAAAATAATCAAAGACAGTGGCTTTTTACTTACTGTACAATGATATGTTTTATGGGGACTCCAATTTTAGGGTTTTCAAACAATACATATTTTCGCTAGCACATGATTTCATTGATAAATCTTAATCACGAAAATTTAAGGTTTTTTTTCAGTATTTATAACGTGTAGAACTATACATTGCGTTTATTCATATATGAATGCATTTTTTAACAGATGCAGTCTGACAAAGCAAATGCCCTGTATGGTCAGTAACGGAACATTCAATGGCACATTGAATATGTCAGTTGTCGCTTGTGTAAAGGACAACACAACTTCTACGGTAGATCCTTCTGTGGAATTCTGGGAGTAAGTCATATTCATTAAAATAATGTGTCCTGTGGCCCATAAGTAGTGCGAAAACGACTTATTCTGTCGCATAGTTTGGTTCTACTAGCGACGCGTAATTTCGTTCTGTGATGCAGGTTGATATCTGTATTTATCTGTAGGTGTAAGATAAACTTTTTATTCCATTGTGATTATTTTCGGTTCAACATGTCTTCCACTCACGATTAACTGCAGAACACATTCCATTACATAATGTTAACATTCCTTGAATGACATGCATACCGTTTCCATGGTTTCTCACAACTTTCCTATCAGAAATATTTGTACCGAGTGTTCATGGAATATAGGAATACAGTTCAGATCTTGTTTTATCTACAGTTTTTGGAATTAAAAGTTTTGGATTTTGCATGGCTATTTTACCTAAGACAGTAGGAGGTAGACAATCAAACTTCCTGTTAAAATAATTAATTTAACCCCTAGCCATCGGACACATTTTTCTCAGATTTAAGGAAAACAAAAACAAAAACGTGGACAAATAGAACATTTTGCATAACCGATATGTACGTTGAATTGTAAGGAGACTTAATATTTTGGTAGGGAAATGTGAATTTTCCCCTTTTGAACGAATTTGTTGTTGATTTACAGACGGAAAGTCCTGCAAATGTCTAGTGGTATCGAGGAGAGTGGCGGAGTAATTTGGGATATGGCCCTGTGTTTGCTATTTGTTTGGATATTTGTATACTTTTGTGTGTGGAAAGGCATCAAGTGGACCGGCAAGGTAGGTGCATACCAAGGTGCAAAGAAAGTTTGGCATTGCGCCATATTGAAAATGTGATATGATATATAGGGAGAACAAATAATGAAGCAGATAAATCGTGACCGCTTTTGAAGTTATTGTTGAAATAGCATCACAAACTGATATTGCATTTCATCAATGGTTTCCAAATATCTATGTAAAAAAATTAGGTATAGATTACTGCAAGAAGATATCATCCAGAAACCTCACTATATATCAAACCGAGATTTCCTTTTAATTGTTTGAATGAACATATTGTCGGCTTTCAAATAATAACCAAAGGCATTACAATCACAAAACCTACCACTAATACTTACATCAGTGTAACTAATGATTTATAAGCTAAGGGAGAAAACTCAATATTTTCTTCTGTATAAGGTATATGTAGCATAATCTGAAGGGAGATCACTCCGACAAAAAATAACAAGAAATGTGATATCATGTTCCTTTATCTATCGTTGGAGTTGAATGGAAAGGTTTTATTGCAGGTTGTATATTTTACCGCCACTTTTCCTTACGTGGTCCTCATCACGCTGTTAATTCGTGGTCTCACACTAGATGGAGCACTCTACGGCATCAAATATTTCCTTATTCCTGACTTCAACAAGCTAGCAGAAGCTCAGGTAAGTCCTATTTCAAAGGGACATGCCCACCACGGTTGTATGGAAGCTATCATTGGTGGATATGTTTAATGGACACTTCAAATTAGTAGTTTATTTCTTAACATATTACGAATGAATTCTCGATAGAAGAGGGAATTACATATCTATTTATATATATAAGCCCATTTGTTTACTAATCATGATGAGCATTACAACCTCTTGGTATTTGTACACCATCTAGCTATTTTTTCTTCGATTTATCTTCTAAAATATATATGTATGTTTCCAAATAATTTGTTTTCGTCATCTTATCTAGAAATACCAATAGGCATCTTTATATTCAATATAATCAATTGAGACAAGATGGAAGAATGACTTGAGAACAATTTCGTACTTCCGTTTGTGTGTTTCAACCCTGCTTGACCAAACCATTAGTACTACAATCCATGTCGACCGAACGGCCGTCAGTCAAAACCCAACAATTTTAGTATATTTTACTACTTGACAGGTATGAATAGTTTCAAAAGTTCAATACATCATTGATTTAAACAGCTACTGTTTTCCAGAAAGACTCGCCCTACTTTACGAATTTTTCTTCGATCTGATTATTTTACAGGTTTGTGCCCGGCTCTACCCGGATAAACTCTTCATATGACCGTAGGTGATCAAAAGATTCAAAACTCACAGCAAACGTGTGGAATCGTGTAGCATTTCATCAGTGGGAGGAGCGCAGTGTCTTATCTTGTGTATAGTCAATTTTTGCACGAAAGTTGATGTTGTGGAGCTGCAAAGGCGCTTAAATAAATTCTTCTTTTCCAGCAGAACGATGACGTCTGTGAAGGTCCTGCAGTATGTTAACGATCAGATATATATTGTTCTTTCCCATTTTTTGGTTTTGATTGTGTTACAGAGAGAAGGAACGCGTCATATCTTCAAGGTTGGAAGCATGACTTCTCCATTCGGAGGATACTGAATATTTTTGGGTTTTTTATTTTACAGACAGACGTCATACCATAGAATCATGAAAAGCAATTTGACAGTTGAATCTGATGATTTCCCGTGGAGAAAATCTGCATCAATTAGGTGTTTTATTTTGGTCACTTTGCAGGCGGTTTTATCCTGAGAGGATGTGGTTGTTCTTGAGCTAATTATTTTACAGGTTTGGGTTGATGGAGGGACTCAGATATTTTTCTCCCTCGCTATTGCACTAGGAGCCATGATTACACTCGGAAGCTACAAGAAGTTTGACAATAACTTTTACAGGTATTCATATCGTAAAGGGAATGTATAGAATATCTTTTCAGTCGAACTCGAGGCTTGTTATAACAGCTCATAATTTTTTCTCTGTGATTATTTATCAAGACATTCCCTTTTTGCGATAACACAGTGCTATAGATACGATACATCATAAAAAAGACGTATCACAGCTTCTTGTCAAGTAAACTGCTTGAAGTAAATATCAAGCATGATGTTAATGTTAGTATCTGATACTACACACAGTTGATACATTGTATGTTTGCATAAGAATAAAGTGGCCATTGTGAGATGATAAATTCACCATTGATTATTTAACTTTTTTATATCGCGTTGTAGATGTTTTTAAATGACGCTATTCCTGTTTTTGCGCGTTTGGAATTCGGGTTCGTGGCGATTTACTGTTCTATCGGTCGCACTGGATGTCTTTCAAAATTAGGTCACGAATGTTCATGCATGTTACGGAAGAAATGGCGGGTATTTGACGTCATAAACATTATGGTTATTTTCTATTGCAGGGACTGTTTTATCATCATGTGCATTAACAGCGGAACAAGCTTACTTGGCGGATTTGCGGTGTTTTCCATTCTCGGGTTCATGGCGACGGAGCAGGGCGTTGATATATCAGAGGTCGTGTCATCAGGCATGTATTTTTTCTTTATTATTTGAATATTGAATATTCCGTACATGCCGTGAAACAAATCATCATTACTTATCGTCTAGTTTGGGTGATAATGACATAGAGAAAATTTATCAATTTTTATGTCATGAATCGGGCAGTCAGAAACTTAACTATAAAATATAGTTTGTTGTAACTATAATCTCAGGAAGAAGGCGCCATATAACAGGCAGGTATTTGGCATCCTTCACAATGCATTTCTTTTCACGTCGAGAATTAGACAATCAGCTGACTAACGTTAGACTTCCGAAGAACTATTTCTAAGCTTAACAAAAACATACAGGGTGTTTAAGTCATATACAGCTCTGGTTATTTTACATATGTACATTTGCTGTCAGTCATTATTAAGTATATGTATCTTCTAATGACACTGATGAAAATGTTTCCATAATTTCAGAAAGAAAATTGTTATAACCACACTCTGTAAACAGACTGGCTAAGTAATGATATTTGAAAGTATAGCTAATACTGTGTGTTATATCATAATTATAATACCAATATACTACCGGTAAGAATATATCTTCTGAATACATCCCACGTATGCCACTTTCCTTTCTTATAATATTCCAGGTGCAGGTTTGGCCTTTATCACCTACCCGAAAGCTGTACTGAGCATGCCCCTCTCCCATCTGTGGTCCGCCGTCTTCTTCTTCATGCTTTTTCTCGTCGGTATTGATAGTCAGGTGCAGTGATTTACTCTTCGCCATCTTGATATGAAAACTCGGGTTTGATTTGGATGTCATTGCTGGTTTCGTCAAACTTGAGCAAACCCATGACAAACTCAATTGCTAGATATTACTTGTTCTGTTTTTCCTTAATTCACAAATATTTTTGTGAACAAAGCCGTCAAACGGCGAACCAAAGAAAAATGAAAACCTAATACTTTCGTAATTACACTTAAATAACCATTTGGTATCAAATGATACCGGTATGATATTGAAGGCCTTCGACAATGTCACGTTATTTGAAATATTGCTTCACAAGAAAAGTATTTCAAAAGTGCTCTTTAACACAGTGCCTTCCTCTGATGTTACATATCAATGGAAATACTAAAAGGCACTGGTAAATATCCATCTCCTGTTATAATGGTACGTTGTTTGATAAAGAAAAGAGAAAATGAAATTTTGATATCGTTATACATTCGTGATATGATGAAAGTATAGATATTTGTTTGTTTTATACTACAGTTCGTACATGTAGAGGCCGTCATCACGCCGATTGTTGATATGTTTCCAAAGTATATCAACAAACCTTGGCATCGAATGGCTATCACAGCGGTCTATTGTGCGTGTGCCTTCCTGATAGGACTCTCAATGACTACACGGGTAAATAGTTTGATAACCTGGATATAGTCAGTAAATAACAATTAACTTGCAATTTGCACACTTCAAGCAACTTTATATAACTGATTATTGTAATTCGCATATCAAATTTGGAAACAGTTTTTGTCAATAACATTGTTTCTTGGGTTTACCTCCCCACGAACAGCCAGGGTCGCTTTGGGGCAGTGTTTCCTTGTATAAACTGATGGCTATCTCAATAAATAACATACAGAAGATCTATCATATGTTATTACGAGTAATTAGGGTAAAGTGTCTTAATCAAGGACTGGTCCGTTTCTAATGTTCCTAAGAAATACAAACCGCTTTGAACCACGCACTATGGATCTCAACTTTGTCTTAAACAATTAACTAAATTTCTCATTAACACAGAATTTGTAACGACATGAACAATTCGACGCTTTGTCGTAAATCAAGCGTATTTATAAAAACAAAATTTATCAGTTGTCTATAAAACTGATAAAATGTTTGATAAATTATCTCCGATGTGAACATAAGATTTCCCGTCGTCCAGTATGCAATACGAAATTATGTATGGGATATGTTATTACAGGGAGGAATATACATCTTTACTCTATTCGATTACTACTCCGCCAGTGGCATGGTGATGCTATGGGTGTGCTTCTGGGAGTGCATTGCTATCGGCTGGATTTTTGGTGAGTGAAGGACTTTTTTGTATTTTTAAAATGGAATGGAAAAAATACACAATGACTAAAGTGACAGACAACACAAAAAGACAATAATTGAAAAAGCTCACAAAAAGTATAGACGATGTTGCCAGTCTGCAGATTATGTGACTATGCAATGGCTGGAACTTTGTGTAAGCTGTAAATTTCATTGTTCCGATAATTATTTTGTACATTTCTGATACGGACGTGACTAATATATTGCTTAATTATTACAAATCCTCTGTCAATTTGTTGTCTTCACATATTTGTCTGTTTAGAACGGCAGTGTCAATATTGTACAGGTCACTGATGTGTAGAAAGTCAACATTTCTTTTCCAATTTTTGTGTGTGAAGTATGAAAAAACTTTAACCTTTGGTTATGTTATACTTTGTATAAACTTCTTCCGAAAATTCTAATTAAACATGATATTGGGCAAATAATAACTCCAACGAAATATCCAGTCATAAGTGTTTTGCTTTTTGTTGTAATGGATATTAATCGTTTTAGCGTGTAATTTCTTTAAGTTTGCCTTGTTTACATTACAGGAGCAAAGCGGTTCTATGATGTTATAGAACACATGCTAGGCTATAGGATAAGTCCATTTCTGTGGATTTGTCTTAAGTTTATCACACCAGCGGTAACAGTGGTGAGTAAGAATTTAATCATCAGTATATTTAAATCTAAACACAGAGAGTTCAATTAATAAATATGTGAGATTCCTCTGAAAGACCCTAAGATACTGTATAAAAGTATAATTCTGCGTAACGCTAATTATCAAGATGGATTGGATATTAATTTTGTTCAATACTCTATATGAGAAGAAATGATTCTTTCTGGTTGTGTATAAGTAAATCATATTACTAATTTGGTTTACTTAATTATTGATATAAAAATAAAGCATTGTTTCATTAACTTTGTAATAGATGTAATATACATTGTATTTCGTTACGAAGATATAAAACATAGAATTCAAAGTTTGTTTTTATTTAAATTTCAATTATATTTTTAAGAAGACATATTTATATTTTTCAGGGCATTTTCTTTTTCCAAGTGGTCACGTTCAAGTCTGCAACAGTCGGAGATTCATACGAGTATCCTCCCCTTGGAGAAGCTTTCGGTCTTCTGTTGGCAATGGCGTCGATGATCTGCATCCCGATCACTATGATTGTTAAACTACGAAAGATCCCCGGCACTTTGTTAGAGGTATGACTGTAAACAATCGCTGTATATTTTTTTATCAAATGCAGCAACTTAATTACATGTAAAATATCAAATTCCTTGGTCATAAAGCACATTGTTACTTAGTTCACCTTAAAATTTGTGGTCAGGAAACACTTTTCTAAATAAGATATAATATTAAAATTTTACGGCAATTATTTATTTGGCCGATTCTAGTCTGCATCGTGGTTGTATTAAATATCAGCTGTAACCTATTATGCATACATATACCTGACTGTAAAATGGATGCTACATTATAGTATTAAATCCCTTGCTGTATACCTAATTGTATAAATGCTTTCACTTTTAAGTTTTATACCAGTTAACATTACATTCAATCTAACCTCACGGTTTTGGTGCTCGTGCATTTGCCTTGTTGATTACCTTATTTGGGAAAGTGACATTACTTACTTGGATCGATCGAGATTATGAAGACTGGTATTGCCAATGGAGCAGAAGGCGCATAATCCTTCCGGTCTTATTCTTGTACTTTGTCAGGTGTCTTCGTATAAGTTATATATATATATGATAGTAGTATATGATAATATTTCCCTCATTTTTCGTTGTTCTTATATTGTAGCGACTTCGCAGATCTGTTACACCAGTTCTTAAGAAGAAACAGATTCCAAAGAAATGGATATCACAGGGAATGTGCCAAACAGTCACTGTCATCGAGGACGAAGACGAGGCTGAGGAAAGGTTCAGTTTAGAAAAATCAAGTGCTATGATTTAAGATAGGATAAGTGTACATGCATATCATGCCGTTTTCTGTATGAAAGGAAACGTCGACACTACATGCAGTTTCTTACTGTGGACAGTATACAAGCATCCTATGTCATATACATAGACGTATATGTTGATATCTAGTGACGAAACTCAATTCATAAAACCTTAACATACAGATGAGCTTAAATTTGATCAAAATCATACCGGATCACACTTCGGAACAGGAAGTTCTTTTAACATAATTCTAATAAGTGAATTGTATCTTTGATGAATTTACAGAAAAGTAACAAGTGGTTATTACCAGTTAACTTTATGTCTGCTTTCAGATTAATAGTGCAGTCTTTGTATCATCCAGTTTTATCATCTTGTGATCTTGGTTAATTTTACGTTCGCCTAGGAAATCTATATTTATATAATAAAATTGAATAATTTGGCACAGTCATTTTTTTCATTTGGGAAACTTGCGCAATAACTTCGCGTAACAATGACAGCTACTTTATAATCACCACGATAAGCGAAGTAATAATTTTGTGTTACATGTTTGGCGGGAATAGCGTTAAAATTATATTACCATTTAAATATGTACGGTTACCAAAAAAAACAAAAAAAAAACGTTATTTTAGCAATGTCACACACAGATAATATCAAAACTTCAATTAAATGTTAAGGGGAAATCTAACCTTAGATATACATATAAATGATATGGACATATCCTTCCTTTGGTGTAGAAGATCGAGTATGGGCTGACATGTTTTGAGTACAATTTTTATTTGTACTAAACCTATGTATCTAGGCTTTATCTATATTCGACGTTGTGTTATATCATATTGGTGGCAGCTGACATGATCTTATCTCCAAGATGAATTATTCACGTAAAATATGAGGTCGTGATGCCTTATATTGAAATTTGGCATCTGCGAATTTACTAGTTGGTGAAATGTTGATGTAATGTGCTGTTTTTAATGTTATTTTTTCTTGTTTATACGTATTAGTGCAAAGCACATATATTTTTACATTGATAAAAAAGCTGAGTAGTAATCTTAAACTGGTATTATCAATTTACGTATTTTACATAAGGAATGTATTTTTGAAAAATCTTGATGCAGAAACATTTATTAAAAATATTTTTACATTATTCCATTGAACACGTCTTTACGGTTGCTGAGGCAAGGTGTTCATAATGTTTAATGTACCAAATATACCTCACAGCATCACATTGGAAGTATTTATTTTTTTATCTACCAATTACTGAAAGTGCGAATGTCAAATCGAATAAAAATATAAAATGATAAAGACGAAGTGAAATGGTCTTATATAGGTTTCATAAAAGTGTTTTTGAACAGGAAAAATGTGGGATATATGATTTCAGTTGTGCAAGAGGAATGTTCTTATCCATGCAATTTCTTACGTGGAATGTGGTTATGGTATAATATTACTTACATTTCATTTAAGCACGGAACTGATTTCAGTTGGCATTTATGGGTAATATGAATGCCACCTGTATAATGGGAAATTCAATGGAGACCATTTGGTGCTTCGTGTTGAGTTTTTCTTAATCCAGTTGGAATTCAACTAAACGCAGTTTAATGTTTTTGTCTATTATTTGCAATAGCAGTCTTGTAATAAGGAGAGGCAGACACAGTGTTCTTGCACTATTGGCAGTTCATGAACTGGTAATACACAACTGGTTTTGGAAAGGCTACTCTGCAGCAATGCTATACAACGGTAAACGTAATATGTAAGGACAAGGTGTTATCTTGGTATAACGGATATTGAGTAACGATCTTTAGAGACGATGTTTTTGTTTGTGTGTATTAACACTCATTTATTATTAAGGTGGACATGCTCTTCATATTGTAACGAATCAGCAACATTAGTTTGCAACAATATTAATTGTGTGTTTACAAAACTGCATCTAACATTAGCGTCGCACAATAATACGAATTTATTTGTTATACTATAAAATTTCTTGGCCATATATTATCGTTTGTATCAAGAGTACTCTACAGCCATTAATTCACATATCCATGAACGGTTTATTCTAGTGTAAGTTATGGAGCTGTATTTATCTTCGATGCGGTTCAGGAAAATCTTTATACTACTGTTATCAACATATTTTGCTAATTGCTAAGCTTTTCAATTTGATAATATTTTTGTAAGAAAAGGAAGTGCTCCTGTCATTCGATTCACCAATAAAACCTACTCAGGCTCACCGATAATGTTTTTACGATGAGAAATAAAACAGGTTTTTCAATGAACGAATGAATTATTGCCCCTTGTTAAAATTTTGTGTCTAGTAAAGTTGTTTCCGGGGAGTATTCGTCAGTTTTACTGATACTCTTGTTAAAATAAGATATTTTATCGACATGTTAGGGAAATAATCTACTTTTTATTTAAGATAATCTACAAAAATTCTTCAATGTATATTATACTTGCCATTAAATTATCTATTCCATCTCCTTGATTTATAATATTTTTAATTCGAAATTATATAACCAGATCTTCAACGAACGATAAAATTTTCCTTAATTATCTACTCGTGTTCTTCGATCATTGATCGGCTCAATTAAAAATGATATACTCCACATTAAACTGGTCATTAAAAAGAAATTAAAAGACCTACTTTGGTTTTTCGATGCACCAAATCAATGTATCCAAACTTTTTTGAAAATATGATAGACCTGTCGTTTAGATAATCAACTTAATTCAAGTATTTGGGCTAGACCCTCGATGAATAGCTAGTTTGTCATTTAAATAATCTACCCAAAAGTCTATTTGGCACCATTAAAATAACCTACTCGGGTTTTTTAAAAAAATAAAATGAAGATACTACTTTATACAGTTTTAATACATACAATACTTATCCTATTCCAGCATTATCTTTATGCTGATAGTGTATCCTTGTGGTACTAGATCTAAGTTTGTTCTATGAACGATATAGGTCAATATACATGTACTATATAGCATATACATGCAATATATAGTATATAATAGGTCAATATAAATGTAATATTTAGTATAAAATAGGTCAATATAAATGTAATATATAGCATATACATGTAATATATAGTATATAATAGGTCAATATAAATGTAACATATAGCATATTCATACATTATATAGCATATAATAACTCATAATAGATGTATTATATATCATATTATAGACCAATCAAGTTGTAATATGTAACTCATCAAGTGCATTTGTCAACTTTTGATGATTTTGTGTTTTTTTTTTTTTTATATAAAATGTGTTTATCAAATTTACATTGATAGAACATAAAATATGTATTGAGGTATCATAAACAATATATATTTCATGTCTAACCGTTGTAGCCAAACAAACAGGTGTTATAACTAATTCTATCAGGTGATCTTGGTTCTTGTCTCTGGCAAAATATTAAAAGGTAAGTGATGATATGATATCTAGTTTAACTATACACTTATTGACGGAACCAGCATATTCAGGATTTTTTTCTATGACACTACTTCAGTGTTGCCTTCAAATGGAGAGATACTATCTACTGCCACCTGAAAGGAAATTGACATATGAAGTATACATTGTTTGACTTGGATTTGCAGATTTTTTAGTATCGATGTTCTGTCATTTAAGACTATTTTTTACACTTAGCAAGATTTTATATATTACTTCGCTGGAATTGTTTTATCAATAAATTCACTATCAAAGGACACTGTATAGTGACGAAAATTGTAATGTTTCCTCTTGTTATTTGTGATTACGACTCGGGTAACGTAATCGGAGATTCTAGTGACCATAATTTCTGTGTCTGTTAGTGTTCAGACCATATATCTATGGTTGTCAGAGTGATAATCTTTGTATTAACATGAAATTAAACGTGATAGGTGTTCCTAGTGGTTCCGTTGCTTTAACACTGTTTGCCTTTGGGAAAAATGACATTGATTAATCAGATCGTCCAATATTTACTTAGCGGATGTTGTCGATGAAGCAGAAGACGCTTAGCGTTTCGAAACACATGGTCTTATTTAACCTTGTAATTTTCTGGGGGTCTCCATAAAGTGTATTTTTTCTTTTGTTGTCGATTTGTCGATTTTAAACTGGAACTCGGATACTATTTCTGTATATTCTTTGTTGTTTATGATACATTTACAATATATACGGCTGAGAAAGATTGTAAAGGTGACACGCAGCTCTCAGTAGAAGCTGTTCTATCATAGTAGTTTGGATACGCTTCCCCTATTGCTTCAAATAGTATTTCATAGTAATGTTTACTTTGGTTGTTTTCTTGCGTTTATCGATCCTTGAATAACCATGTTCATTTTGACGCAAGGTCTAATTGTACTCGCGGATGGCTATCGCAATGAACATATCGCGGAAGGCACGCCGAATGTTTTCCAAAGCAATTGCTGCATGTGTCTTGCTCAAAGACAAAACAATGATTGCCTACTTATCCACTGTCAGATTTTATCGATTCCAACGTGTAATATAAGACCACGATATAACTGGTTTAATCATCTGTTTAACATGTAAACAAGACAACACATAAAGTCATAATGTGGTGACGTCACATTTAATATTTTATCCCAATAAATATGAAATCGAAATCCCAACACTATAAGACTTATCAATGATAAGAGAACACATACTTGGGTGTTATCAAAATTCACAAATTTTCTTTCATACTTCATCATATATTCTTAGAAAGAATGCAATATTGAATAGCAATTAATAATCTCTATAATGAAATTTATAGATATTGATTTCAACAATGTAAAAGCAGCGTCATATTCTTGCCTTCCTACCACAGGGACATCATTGGGAACAAACATTGTTAAGGCAGTCCAAGAATGATATTTTCACTGTCGATATTGCCAACATCTCAAAAATTAACGAACATCATAGTTGAAAAAACATAAAAAAAAAAAAGATAAAAATAATTATGATATAAAGGGGCTTGCAATGAGCACCTCGGACATAATTCCAAATTGCAATTAATTAAATCCCTGTCATTTCATATTTAACAAGTCTTCATTCAGCTACATTGTGTAAATATTTTAAGACAGAATTTCATTATACGAATACAATATTCTATCTATCATATCTTATCTTAAGCTCATATGCAATGGCAAAATATCGACAATATGACGTCAATTAAAATTATCACTGCTATAATGGAATGGGAGCATATATACAATATTCACAGGCGTATCAGAAAATGTCGATTACCTGGTAATTGCATGCATGATATAGAGTGAACATGAAAATAATGAACTTGGTTTTGTAAGATGAATTCGTCCGATGAATACATATATTCAAAGGAATAAGACACACAATTAGTGATATATATTCAGTGTATTTTCATCCACTTTGTACGCTGTCAGGCATATCCTTTAATTTAACTATTAAAAGAGCTGATACAGAAATAAAAATTAGATTTGTGTATTTTTATTTATGTTGATTTGAGTAAATAAATGTAGATATACACACACTTACAAAATATATATACACAGTAGATGCGATTGAGTGATAGGTAGCTATGTAGGTATACTGATACGGAATTATATAGAGGACAATAATTACATGTACATGTACCTGCGACAGCTGGTATCGACAGGCTAACTCACAAGGTTGGTGGTATAATCACAACAGGTCAGCGGCAGGACACACAGACAGTCCACGGGACTGGAGACAACGCATGCATATGGTAGGTACGACAGTTTAGCCTGTGGAAGCTTAGAGATTGGTATTTGAATGGAACATTGAATTTTAAATAATCTTGATCAAGTATGGGACCGTATTTTTGTGACAAAACGGGCGTGACCGGTAAGGCAACCTTTGGCAAAACATTGCAAATCATCTAAAGGCTCCTAGAGCCTAATTTGATTAAGAAAATGGGGAGATAACCCTGTAAAACATATAAAGTGACCTTTTTTCTGTGACAAAAGGGACCAAACAGTAGAAAGATGGATTTTCACGACAGAAAGGAGAGAACCCCGTAGACCATCAAAGGTATTGTGTTTCCATTGTGAAGCGGACGGAACTCTCTTGAGCACCTCCATGTGCTGTACCGTTCCAGCACGGAAGGAAACTTACTGAATATCTTTCCTGCTATATTTCATGGCAAGCTGACCTGAACGCTGTTCAACAACTTATAAGGGTAGTAAGGTGTGTAACAAAACAGGCGGAACACCGTGTGAATGACAGGACAACATTTAAATATAGGCATTGTAATAAGCTTCCTTCCGTAATATTACAATGTTTGTATTTACATCTGTACTTGTAAAAATGACATTCTCGAGTTAATTTTTTATATTAGCCATGATTAATTCTGAAAAAAAGTGTTTTGTTCTTAACGGAACTTCTAGTTGACGGTAAGGTGCAACATGTATGTATATATTTCAATTTGCAGTAATTTCTAGTTTCAAATCTCACAACAGTATTCATACTATGAGTAAACAGCATATAATGTAAACATCCATTATCATTTAAGATGAAGCGACAGAAATGTCATATAACCCTAACTGTCCGGTCGGAATGCCCGGTAGCTGACCTTCATAACAGAAAGATCGTAGATCAGGCCAGCGTGACAATTAGAACCGAACATCGAGTTGTCACAATGACAGCATTTTCTGATAATTACATGACATGTAAATTACACAAAAACCTGGTGCCCTTTGACGTGGGTAGACATCGCCATTATGACCGTGAGTCATGTAAAACGACCTCGCCATATAAAATGTGTAACGGCTTGACACTGCATTCAATTTATACCTCTATGATATTTTATCCTGGCGATCTCAATAATAATGCAATAATGATTTTCTTCCTACTAAACCAGAATAAAATCTTATCCGAAAGAGAGGTTTTGTTAATCCATAAAACAGATGTATGGTTTGTACTTTGGAACATGTATCTATAAGTGTTTTGTTTATATGTTGCGAGAAAAAAATGTAATCTCATCCTCCCCCCCCCTCTCTCTCTCTATATATATATATATATTATATAAAGGTTAAAACACTGAAGAACACATACGTTTCTATCACAGAATCGACTATTCAGGCAAGTATTTTAGAAAACTGACATTTCTAAGTCAAACTTATAAGTCATTCGACTTTATATCTGCAATCTATAAGTGTGTGACGTCATTTCATTAGATTAACCTTACGTTACGATAGCAAATATACACATGTGTAATGTTACAAAAGTACATATACAGAGTAGCTGGACAACCGTGTGACACTTCAAGGAAAGTCGTCTCCACTTTATTGACGATTAGCTTCGCTTATTTCCAGTCACATTTTCAAGAACTGTATTCTATAAAAATCACACCACACGCTTCTACCATATTCATGAATTACAAGAAACATGTCGGAAACACCGATGTCAATTTTTTTTTATTCTTCCTTGAAAATGAATTTACATATTAAAAATTCATATTTGGATTATGCCGATAGAAATGGTTTAATTCAGTTATGACTGACAATATCTCCATGTAATTTGAAATCGATTGCTGAATAAACATTGTCTAGGGCATTAGATACAGATCACAGTGACATTTTTCTGAACTCTCATAGGACACATAAGACATCCAAAGCGGAGTTTAATGTACACTGTACATGAACTTGTTTGGTCCATTGTAATGGCCAACGGGGCAATACGCTTTAATCTTATTATCGGAACACCCTCATGATGTTTCATATGTAGGTCAACTGATAGTGTGTTAATTAAACCATACCGTTGGTAACAGGATTATATTCACATGTTTTATTGATAGCTCTACTTCAAACTTCACGTTTTATTTTGATTTGCTATTGGTGGGTTAAGGCAATTTTCATGAAAACCTTTCTCTCGCATGGACACAAGAGTCCTGAATAGACATCCACAGAACTTCAGACAAACACTTTGTATTGGACATGCATCGAATTCGTTACGAAATATCACAATATAAGGATAGAGATACATGTCACTTCCTGGTTTTACCTACATGACAGCAATATCCCAATATAAACTAATTAAATTAATACGTATTCCAAATTCATTGACTCGTGCGATCGATTTCCGCTGAAGTCAATATGCAAGCAAAAATACAGCAATAGTTTTTTTTATGAATTAAATCACAACTTGCATTAGTTATCGTTGGCCGACACTTGTAAAACCGGAATCGGAAAAAGTTTTAAAATAACAGCCTTTTAGTATAGAAGGACATTTGGAAGATTGTTTATTTACTTTGAACGACAGTTATTTTCAACAAATAAAACATCAAGGAAACAAGTATTTTTATGTCAATGCCTGCACTAGGAGTCGAACCCGGGATCTCTGATTTATTAGTCAAACGCTCAGTCGATTTTCTCCTGTCGAATGGTATATTGCAACCAGTGTTTACCTGGATATCCTTAAAAATAGTCTCCTATTAATATCTAATATAAAAATGTATTTCTTATTGGTTATAAAGTGTTCACATATACACATGAATTTACACACGAGCAGTGAAGTGTGACTTGCCGTCCATTGATTTTTTTTGTTGTGGCAATTAGAAGTCGTTTATTTATTTTTAAATCTTTTAAGTGCCTGTACATTGACACAGATCCCTCCTCGTGTTTCATTGTATCTGCCAAGTGATTAAGTAAAACAGTCAAGGAGTGGATTGATGAATTTCGTTTGAATTTCGTGTCATGTATTCCGGAACGTTAGCCCATATCACTTGGATATCCATATGAAATTATGTTAAGTGAGAACCCATATTATATGAATTCCGTGATCTAGGTATCGGATTCCATGAACGCCGACACAACTGTCATCTGCAATTTGAGCATCGTCACGTGACAGATTGAAATTGAAGGTAGTTTTCATTCTGTTTATTGAAGTGGAAAGAACATTTGACTTCCAGCCTAAAAACAATTGTCTAGTCCATAAATCCTTACCAACAATATGACGTGTAAACATCCCAGGGGACATTTAAAACAACGAGCTGCCAACATCCGGTTACATGTGATACTGTGAACGTTTCGTGTTTGTATACATACAATGCGTATGCTCTGTCTGGCATTTGCCTGCGTAACATGTAACTTTCGATTTTTCAGATCAACCATCGATCTAGGACCGTACAGAGTAGAGGGAGTGTTAGACTCGCACTATTGTAACCAGACCTTGTACCTCTCGTTGTACATCCGGGTATTTATACACCGTGTACCCAGAATGGAGAAGGTGGATGAGCTTCGGTTACGGATGATGGACGTACCACCTTTAGAGGACGAGCCGGACTTCTTCAACAGTGACCAGACGTATGTATATATTATATATCTATATTTACATTGCATACATTTAGTGTAACACTATATATGTAAACATGTAAAGAAAATGAGTTCAATGTACAGTCCAGGCAAAGGTAGCAAGACGGTACCTGAATAATAATCTCACATGTAGTTCTGAGATAAGACATAAGAGTCACATATGTAACGGAAGCATGGAGTTCGGAACTTTTTTTTATTAGGTATAGTCGTGTACACCTTTATCTATCTATATAAGTCAATAATTTCCATGTGTACTGTGCGATCCCTTTAAAGATTAAAAGACGAATGTTATATTCACATATATATGTTTTTGATCAGGTTAGTCAGGTTTTTAAAGGCTCGTGAATGGAATTTAGACAACGCGGAAACACTTTTGAAATCAACAGTGGAACACAGAAGAAACACGAAACCACTCCATATAGACTGTCACTGGTGCCACGAGCGACCGGGGCATCATTCAATGGTACGTCCATCAGACAGTGACATCATCTCTGGTTTGTTTTACAGGTTTTACGGGTCGATCTTAAGTCAATGTTACGTCATCCACTTTTTTTTTTGAATTGTTCAATGTGAATGGTTTGACTGTCTGTCCATGGCAATTTTTGACTCACATGTAGCTGAGAAGTAGACCGATCGATGCCTATGGTTGATTCTGGATGGCCTGTGACTGGCCTCCAGTATGGTGTTCATTGAGTTAGCTAACAACAATTACTACACGAAGACCGTACTTAAAATGACAATTGTAGAAAGGCAGTGTATAAGATCAATAAATCAGGACCAAAGTCTTACTAAAGTCGCATATATGCCAGCATAAGTTTGGAAAGGAAGCTTTTAAAAACAGTTATTCTGTCTTTAAGAAGTTGAGAGGGCATGAAGTGTCAAAGGTACAATGTATATTGTTTCAATTACACATGTCGGCGTTGACCTCACTTTGGATAATTAAACACGCGTGAAAAGGTATTATTGAACTTTAATGATGGAACCAATGAAAATGGCCATAATAGTTTTTCCAGTCCTCTATATAAAAAAACGTGAGAAACCATTTGGTTCAAAGTCAAAATCATACAACCTGGGACAGAGGTGAAAGCTGACATTGGTCAAGGTGCAAAAGAAATAAATGGAGACGGATAAAATATCAAATTGGGACAAACATAAAAACTGAGACTTAAAAACACATGAGACAGTACAAAAATGTAAACGATACACTATAAGATATTACGTTGTCAAAACAAGTTCAAAATTGTCAAATTAATAGTCTCAATTTTGTCTGTTTTAATTCAGAGACAAGTTGGATTTGACGAGAGTGGTCGGCCCGTCATCTACTCAAGTTTCGCCCAGGCGTCCACACACAAGAATACTGTTGAAGACTCGGTAACTCACTGTACCTACCTCATAGAGAATGCCAAAAGGACCATGCAGCTAGGTACCAGTACATGGGTATGGATAATCGACTGCTCAGGTACGATCCGAAGGTCAGCGTGAAGGGTTCACTTCCGGGAAATAAAAAGTACGGTTTCTACCAAGAGTTGTCGTCCGTTTTAGGAACACACAAGTATTAAGTCAATCGAAATTACCGAAAGTTAGTTCCCTTCTTTGATTCTCGGGCGCCGCAGTTAAAACCTTGAGTTTAAGATTTCGGGCACCAACTAGAATGTATGGGTGATGGCCATTACTATGACTATGATTACTATGATTACGTGAAACAATAAACAAGTTATCTTATTCGAATGCAAACCAGAATACTCAGGTGTTTCTTATGTTTTATGAAACATAACCCCAGGGATTTGGAATAAGTAGATAAATCTGAATTAATGTAGAACTAGATAAATGGTTTTTATGCTGTTTTCAGCACAGTGAATAACACTTAATCCTATCTGACTATTTAAATCTGACCTTTAGTATCTTCTACAAACAATACGTGCTTTACAAACGAAGGGTTCTTGTCACGTGTGGTAAAATGTAGCTAGATCTTTGACTTATAAGAAGAAGATTATCAGGAAGATGTGAAACACATTGAACAGCTTAGAAAATGCTTTTTTTTTTATTTTTAAATATTCACATTCATTCATGTACTTGATGTCGATCTACAAGTCTCAAAGACAGTCAATTGTCTAACAACAAACTACCATGACGGGGTCCATGATGAATCTAAGGCGTTTGCTGACTTCTGATGTGTGTAGGTTGGCTGGAGGGGCGTGAGATTGAGATATGCTGATATCAAAACATTCTCCCCGGATCTGCTGTTATAAGTGTATCTTTATTTATGAAATGTATATAATGCATATAAGATAAAATCAATATCTTATTAATTCATACGTAGGTCTGTATAACAATCAATGCACGTACATTGTCTTTCCAATGACAAACAGCTGTTGTAATAGCGTGAAACTTAAGTGTTGGCAGTTTATTCATACTAAACCCGTGACAAGGGCTGTCACAGCTAAATTATAGATATTTCTCCTGTGATGTGATTTCATATGCGATACAACACTTGAACAGTAAAGGAATACATGTATACTGTTTCGGGAGGCATGGATCGGACTCCATACTTTTTAATGTTTATTGTAGTGTTTTTATACTTATCAGCGATTCATAAATTTGTAACAGCTGATATAGATTATAATACATTCACTTTCAGGTGAATACGCCCACTTATTAACCCGAGACTGGAGGTTAATCTGAAAACAGGTTAAGTGTTTTCAAAAGTTGCAGCACAAGTTACTAGATTGTAATATTTACCTGTGAGTCTCTTGGCGGAGTTATGAAATGGCTATATCAAGCTTCCGTGAACGGGTTCTGTCAGATGTATAGATTTAGACCTTTGATAGGTAGTTTGACCAATCAGCGTGTTGGAAAATAACGGACTTAAACGTGACTACTGTGACGTTGTATTTGGTCAAGGCTGTTAGTTTGAACAAATTTGATAGCTCTTTGACGAAGCACATTATTGACCCAATATCCTTTTCAAAAGGGGTGTGCGGTGGGCGAATAGACATCTGGACGCGATCCACTATTTCGACTTTGTTAAGGCCACTGTATCAATTTTTGTTTTCGTTTTTTAAATTTCACTTCATGACATACATATACATTCAATTCATTTCTTTATACTCCAGGTATGACTCTGACAGCGTGTAACCCAAAGTTGGGCTACGGGGTCACACAGGTCATGTCTAACTACTACCCGGAACGCCTCGGACTCGTCATCTGTCTAAACCATAGTCCGGTGTTCCAAGGCGTCTGGAAAGCCATTAAAGTCTTTCTTCATCCAAACACTATAGCCAAAATGAGACTTGTACGTTCTAAAGACAAATATTTGAAACTGTTCGAAAATTATTTCGATAATGAGTTAACTGAATGGTTATTGGAAGAAATAAGATTGAATAAAACAAAACCGCTTTCAAAGACTCAAGTGGAGTTTTGGAATCCCCCAGTTGACCAGAGTGCACATGATCCACGTGGATGTCCCTCTTACGTCACAAAGTACATAGATAATCTGGATCCTTCAGACTCTTCATTGACACATCGACCACACCCAAATATTGTAGATAGTGCATCCGGAACTGTTCAGACAATTAGCGTGTCGTCGGAAGAACGACATGAACGCGAAGATTTACTTGCGGATCATTCTGATTTGGTCAGCGGCGTTGACCAGGAAGTGACCGGTGATAAAAGTGATGAAGAACAGGAAGAAACCTTTGTTGCATTGGAAATCCCCAAAGATTTCCAGATTTCTCAATCTGCCTCAGAAGTGTCCTAGTTTGTGTGTGTCTCCTCACTGTCGGAAAATGATACATTTGAATCTTCTGTCTATGCATGCGTCATCGGTTATGTTAGAATAAGACATCGTTATAAGGGATGTCTTGGTTCCGACGAAGAATCGTCATATCGGATACTGTCTGCGCATGTGCCACGCACAGATTAAGATTGGAGGGTCTTTATACAGGAATTTAGTCTTGAAACTGTATACGTTGAGGATTAATGACAAATGTTTTCCTAGTAATGCTCGTACCGTCTGTGTGCTGTGTGCGCATGCGTCAGCTGTGATATTCTATTGGATCGTATTATCACTGTATACCGTATAATTTGGATTATAAACCTTTCGGATTTGTGAAAGAGATAGTTCCTTAGAGCCGCGAACATGTGTGTGTTCTCTTGTGTGAGGTACAAAATCGTTACACATGTATTGCGAATGTACACTGCATACTGGATATTTTTTCGTGGTTTTCCCAAAACCAAACAGGATTATTTTCACAGAAATCATGTAACGCACTAACTTTTTCTTTAATCATGTATTCTCATGGTATTTTAGATTTACGAATAAGGAATAATAGAAACCCACGGAAATTACAACCTGTATAGTATTTTGGTGCTGCGGGAAATCAAATCCGGAAACTGAACGTTACGGATTAATGAATATTAATTTTGGAATATACAATGTACACATGTCCATGTAAACTTTGTGCAATAAATACTGTTCACATTTAAAATCGAAGATTTTTAAATTCCATGTGTAACTTGTGTCCAATATTAACAAGGTGTGTTTGATAGATGTTATGATATCAGAAACGGAGAGTGAATATATACATTTGTCCTGTAACTGGCACTGCCATTGTCGGAATACACCTACCACAAATATTTTGCTGTTTCGGCAGTGACGGAAAACAGCTGTATTTTAGCTTTGATTTGATTTAAACATATTTCATTGCCACAGAATAACAAAGGGATTGGGCACAAGTTATATCAACATTATCGACGCCCTCTCCCAAAACAATTACAATATACACAATTTGGCAAACAAAAGTACAGGTCACATTAAGAAAAATACAAAACATATAACTGTTGGCATTGCTCTCCGAAACTAAAATAATAAGATATATAACTATAGATATAAGTATAACCTGTCCAAACTTGATCAAAATGCTGGCTGGTTTGTAACAACTATAAGTGAGAAAAGTCTAACAAAAGTAAGGCCGGAATAGACAATGATCCGAATTAGAAGTTTAGCTCGTGCGGTAAGAAGACAGAATTTCTTTCTGAATTTAATTAGATATTAGTGTATCAATATAACAACTGTTTAATTAGACGATCTCATATGTTATAATGAACATGTTTAATTACAAAAATTCATAAAAATCCTGTCATATCCATTGAAGTTTGGAGCTGTATTACCACGAGGATTAATTGTTTTGGTGTACGTGATCGGGCAAAATTCGGCGTAACGTCGCCTCCGGTAAACACAGATAGAACAACCAACCTGTTCAAGATTTGATGGTCTGGTTTTTAATTGATATTGCAGGATAACTAGAATATATGGCTGATGTCTTAAGATATTAACTGCATTTTGGCTGGGGACAGAAAGACGCTTATGTCTTTTCCCGACAAATCCGGCAAAAAGACTTAACAACAAAACTATGAATGTTTTGATAGTCTGATTTTTAATCATGCTTCATTTTGGCTCGGGATAAAAAAAAACGGCTCGCCAGAGACTCGCTACTTTTGTCTTCCTATTTTCAGACACTGACCAAGTATTCTCAATTTATCCTGCAACTGCACTGCCATTGTCGAAATATACCTACCACATACATTTTGGCAGTGACGGAAAACTAAAGCACGTTCGTGAATTTGACATAGTTACTTTCTTAATTTACTTTAAAATTACGTTTAACGGTATAAACAACTATTGAAATAAGTGATTTTATACGTAGTAATGAACAAGTTTATTTACGAAAATTCATAAAATCGCCGTCATATCCGTTGAAGTGTGGAACTACTTTTCTGCATGGAGCAATTATTATGGCGTACGTCATCAGGCAAAATTATGCGTAACGTAAACGTGAGGTTGAACACAACACTGTTGAAAATTTGATGGTCTGATTTTCAAACATTATTGCACAAGAATATACTTGAATATATGACCAATGTCTTAAGATATAAGCTGCATTTTGACTTAGGACAGAAAGGCACTTGTTTCTTTTCACCTCGTCAAAATAAAGCTGATACTTTAAGACGCTGACCATTAAACGTATGATACGTAGAGTACTAAAATAAGTAAAAACGAAAATAACGAAAAAAAGAAGAAAGATTTTTTTTTTACATTGGGAGTCGGTCATTATTACCCAACTTATACTCAAATGTCGATATAAGATTATTATGATATCAGTTCACAACTATTTACACCTCGTATACTCTATTATACTCTTTGTACTTGTCTACCTTTAACAGCAACGACAATATACACTTTTAGTCTGTAACACCATGGGATAGTGGGATTTCAAATGTGTTTAAGATAATGGCCTTGGCCGCTTCCAATGCCAAGGGGTCAAATTTATCCGATGTTGTGGTCAGTTTATCAATGAACAGGAGACTGTCACCTACGATTAGGTTACGACTTGCAAACGTTGTATAACAGAGAACAGGCATGTTCAAAGGAGTGACCTTGATCCACCTCGCAGGGGTCAAATGTCTTAAAATCGACTAGGGTAATAATAGTTGCAACGTCTAACACTAGAATAAGAAGTCACGAAATAATTCCAAAGGTAGATCACAAACTTGTTCATTTAGTTGCTTTACATTCACGAGAAAAATATTAGGATATAAGAGAAACACAAAATGATAATATTCGGCTATTTCAAGTGTTAGTATGGAAAGCTAACATGTTTGAGCTTGAAAGAGAGCTTGTAGGTTTAATTACTACCTTTGATACAAATCTGGAGTTTTCTACCTTTTTTCATCTAAGAAATCGTAAACAATGTAGTTCTGTGTTTTACATACAAATATTTTACTCAGGTTTTCCAAAATATTTGCATTTTTGCTGCATTGTCGTTATGTAATCTCTGTATATTTTGCTCCGGGTTATGAGACTAGGAACCGGACATAGCGCGCGCGTAGTAATTAAAATTGCTTTGATCACCGGTGTACTTCAGTAATTACTCTGCAGCGACAAAATCACAAAACAACACGATATTCATTTAGAGTTTGTATTTCCATCTCATCCCTTTGAAAACAACAGGACATTCAATTAATTAATACAAACTGATGTTTTTAAAAATTGACACAGCGCTATTTTGTTTTATTTTGGCCCTGGGAGATGGTACAGGACAGCGGGCAAGTAGAAGAACATGTTTATGTATGTAATAATGTCTGTCTGTTTGTACCGATTTCATGACCATAAATCGGAGCAGATCACTGCTTATGGCTAAGCAAACCTTCAGATACAAGTGTTAGGAAGACATTCGTATATCTTTTTACTGTTTACAAGGGTTACTATTGAGTTACTGCTAAATCGTTAATTTTCGTGATTTTTTTTTTTATTTTCGTTGGATTTCTGATTACTCTTAATCCAAAAATTCTTATGTCAACGGAATGATAACCAGATAGATTTTAGAACTGTCGAATTTTGTAAGTAAGGTTCATCCAAGGGCCATTCAAATGCTAACGAAGATTCATATTTTAAGAAAACCTCGAAAAATGAACCCCACGAAAATATATGATATAGTATTTCATCATATCATTTGACAAGACCGATTTTAAATTGTATACGTGTACAGACTCGACAGTATTGTTTTAAACATATTTTACAATTCTATTTCTTAATTTCCAACTAAAAATTGAACAAAAGTCATAACTGTAACATGTTTTTCCAAAATAATATAAATGTTCAAGCGTTTGACAAACCATAAAAGTCATGAAATTATATATACATGTATATACAAAGGTTTTGATTTTTCTCATTTCCGTCTACAAATTTTCATTTCCATTAAAAATCTGCATTCTCAACATTAAGGAAGAACAAGTTTCTCTTCTGTTAATTATCAATCAATGAAACAGGTGAAAGGCGTTTTCGCATGGAGCGATTTCCGGAGGAGCAAATGGCGTTTTCGATCAGATCGAACTTCTTCAATATTTCAAAGAAATACTTTGACGATGTCACTCCTTGTGAATAGTAACTAAGTTCCTGTCATCGAACAACGAAAACGTAAACTGCTTTTTTTGGCTCGGATTTGAAGTTTAAAAACTTCTGCAAAGTTTTTAAAGGCGATGAAGGTTTAGATATCATGTAATTTCAATGCATAGTCAAAATGAAGAGAGTGAAAATGAAGAGTTAGTGTGAGTTAGTCTGAAGTTCGGAATTACAAAATTATTCAGGTTTCTTATCGGATATAGAATACTCTCAACAACTGTGGGAGGTGACAAAGGGAAAAAAAGCCACGGGTTTAACCTTTTTTCACTAAATAAACTAGTTATTTTCTCTTGCTCATTCCGTGAATACATTGTGTTGTAACAACTTTGTACCAAGTACAGCTACACACACCCCGTATTTCACTAGCATATCCTACCACTGAAGAGAAATGCTTTATATTTTTTTTCAAAACGCCAGGTTGTCTTACCCTGGATATGTAGATCCTTTGTTCATCTAGAGTTTAGGAGGGGATTCCCCTGTCAGGACATTGATATGACGTCATGATAAAAATTCGCTGACGTCACGTCAACAATTCAATTACGTCAATGATGCGAAGCACTTAGACAACAAAACCATGTATTTGTCAACCTTATAAAGCCAGCATGATAAGAGAAAAAAATGCGACCATTCATCCCCTTGTCGAAGAGATAGAGCTCGGTAGAAGATGATTAATTTGTAGACACTGCAAGCCTCGTGTTTGCTAACTTAATAATCTTTCGCCTCGGGTTGAGATCATATCTCCATGGTGGTGAAAGATGATATCAATCTTTTTACATCTGTGTGATATTAAAGTACAG